TCTTTTTGTTCGGTTGTGGCTCGATGATGCTTCTATTTTTATGGTCGTTGGTCTCTCGGTGTGGTACTGTATATGGTTGATGGTTGTTGTGTTGATGGTGTTTTGGGTACTGTGTGGTTTTGGATCTTGGTTCTCGATGATGGTATTGGTCCCCCCCTCTGTTGGTTGGCCGTGGGTTTTTATAACCCACGCCGGCCGTTGGGAGTCCCGACGATCTCGGGATCGTGGTTGGTTGGCCGGGGATTTCGGGATGGGTCAGTCCCGATCCCCTCGGCCGGAAATCTCGGTGACCGGTGTGTGGTGGCGTTCAGGCTTATGGTAACCTTGATTTGATCTTGACCGTTTGATTTGGTCAGATCCAACGGTCCAAGATTGGCTGCGGCTGATAGCTCTTTGTGGGTTAAACAAACCCTGATTCCCTTGCTATGTTGGCTGTTGATCTCTTTGTTGATCCAACAGTCCCCTGTTGTGTGGCGCTGTGACTAAGTCTAAAAACCCTGATCTGCTTGGACCTCGTTCTGGACCCTGAACAGAAAAACAAAAACAAAATAATTAAATAAGAAATAATAATAATAAATAAAATAATTACAATAATAATAAATGATAATAATAAATAATAATAATAATAATAGTATAATATATATATAAATATTTTAAAAAACATATAATATATAATTTCCAAAATGTTTTTTTTAAATTATATAATATATATATTTTAAAAAAATGCTTTAAACAAATTATATATTATATATTTTTAAAATATTTTTTTTTAAAACTATGTAATATATAAATGTTTTCAAAATGTTTTCAAAACTATATATCATATAAATTTTCAAAAATGTTTTTCAAAACTATATATTATATACGTTTTCAAAAATGCTTTTAAATATATATATATATATATATATATATATATATATATTATACATTTTCAAAATGTTTTCAAAGACTATATATTATATATATTTTTAAAATGTTTTCAAAAAAAAACATATATTATATATCATATAATATATACTTTTCAAAAAGCTATTCTCAAAATTATATATATTATATGTATTTTAAAACATTTGTAAACTATATAATATATAGATATGTATATATAAATAAAAATCAGACGAAAATAGGTGTCTACACATAGCTAGTTAATTAAAACAACAGAACATGTTATCTATATTCTATATCCACTTTAGAAACATGCTAGTTGCATGCAATATTATTATATTGATAAACGTTTTAATGATTTTTTTTATATTTAATTGATTGAATATGTTTAAGATAAAGAATTAATTCAATGCATTAATTCCTTATCCTAACTAACTTAAATAAGTAATAAAAACTATTATTTAAAGTAATATAAGATGTGACACCTAATCAATTTAAAGTTTGGATTCAAAAACATCAATGCATATTTTCATGAATCTAAAGGAGTGTAAGTAAAGACGGCAGAGATATTATTACAATATCCTTATGATATTTTACTAGCATATCAAAATAATTAAAACTGAGACGTCGCTTATAAATTCGCATGGATGGAACCCATATTATGTGGATATGAACAATAATGTATCCCACTAAGCTTGTAAGAAGTGCAGAAAACACAATCCTATGATTCATTTTCAAATATGGATAAATCTTAGAATGTGGGGATGCATATCTGAGATCACGGGAGTTGCCAAATACACGTGAAGAACATGATACCAACATCAGCAATATGATGGCCTTCTCAATAATTTAAAATATTGAACCAATTTTCTTCTGTTTACCAATGGTGAAACCGTAGTAATAAAATGGGGGATAAGAGAGAGTCAAAATTAGAGATAGAGTTATTATCAACAGATGAACAAATTGCACTTTATGCCCCCAACTTCTATATCAGGCTCGTTTGGCCAATGCCCGCATTGGATAGAGAGGAATTAATCAAGTCTGGAACAATCTCATCAAATGAATGGGCATGAAGCCCATTATCATTAAGACGCGTATTTGTTTCACTCAGTTTTTTTTGGCCCACTACCCAAGCAGATAAGTTATTTGGCCCCGAGATTTTAATTTGAATTTATGATATTTACTATAGTAAATGGTGAACTCGTCACGTCGAGGTGAAGAGTTCGCTTAAATATTTTTTTATTGATCTCAGGTATGTGAATCTCATGTGGACCAATATTTTCAATAATTTCATTAGGACTTGTCACCTTGACGATGCGAGTTCATTTACAATTTATTATTTTTATATTTCATTAAATAATTTAAATATTTTTTAAAAAATCTGAAAATCTCATCATGTCTAGGTTTGCTTTGAATTTTTTAAAAATAGATGTTTGTAGCCATTGCACAACGAGCAGTTGCAACGGTCATCATGGAATTCGTCACCTTAAAATTGTAGCCATTGCACAACGAGCAGTTGCATACTTTCATTGAACGTTCGAGGTCGGAGACACATACTTTCCATTTTTCGAGTGATGAAATGTGAATTACGTTGGAAGATGTCATTTACCAACTCAGTGTTCTGATTAATGGTGCAACGATAGTGAGGCACAACAATTTCGACCGATTCAGAATTGTTCACAAGTTTTGGGAAAGATGCTATCATAAGATGTTTTAGAGGGGTACCAGATACAAATCATTTGGTTGGAGTTCGAATTTTATGTGACAGACGACTCTACATAGGCTGAGGTGATTTTTGTAACTCGAGCGTATTTGCTCCAATTGACTGAAGGGGTATTGTTACTGGATAAATTTGGCAATTTGGTGCACATTCAGTATCTTTCGATATTGGAAATTTTTTTTGAGTGTAGTTGGGGCTTGGTGATTTTTAATTTTTTATATCGTGAATTTTGCAAGGCGACAATCGTCGAATGAGGTCAAAAAGAGGATATAGCGGGTTATCTAGTTCTGCTACAATCATGGGGTGGTATCGGTTCCCATTTTTATGCTAATTATAGTAGTCCCGATTGAATTTCCTCTCGCTCCAAGGTAGTTTTTTAATATTATTTTTTGGTAAATTTTTAATTTTATTTTTTTGGGATTTTTTAATTTTAATTTTTATATTATTTAGATGATGACATAAAATTACCGAGATCAAATTGTCAGGTACAACTAAAAGAGACATACAAATGAGAATCGATATTGTCAGTCGACATACGAAAAGTATTGATTTTTTAAATTACTAAAATTTAATTGAAATTTTCACTTTATATTACAATCTTCCGGAGACCTTTCCATTGCATTTTTTCTGGTAAATGTTCAACAAAAACAGCGGTATATCTGATACTACCCCTGAAATCGTGATTGAGAAATTTAATTACGTCGATTAGTTGAATGTCTCCTATCAGTCCAACTCCTCCGTCGGAAAGCATTTCTCCTCTAAAAAGCTCTTCTCCTTGGCCGTCTTAAGAAAAAATCGTTCGGAAACTTGTGTATAATTGATATAAATCGTTTTAATAAAAAAAAAAACTCCCGAAACGATGACACAACTCAGCCTTAGACCACAATCAATTCATAACTCAAAATTTGAAACTGAAGTATTTAATGTATTTGGAGACAATTTTTATAGATTGATACAGATTTCATCTATTGTATACAATATTAAAATTATCTAAATATCTTCTTATTCATAAATAGAAAATATTATATGATTAATGATATAATCAATTAAATTAAAATTCAGTCCACAAATATATCTAATATTTTTACGTTTAATATTATTAATAATATACTTATATGCACTAAAAAAATAATTAACTAATGTCGTTGAACATCCATCCAAGTTGGTGCCAAAATGTTGGATTTCAGCTAAAATTTCTTAGACGCAAGTTGAAAGAATAATCTTTATCGCAGCGTAAAATAATCATATGATTCATCAGTCAAAATTGTCAGGAGTTATTGATATCCGTATATTTTAAATTCTACTCTAATTATTGAAAGATGCATATACTATTTTTTGTTGTTTTGTTAGTTAAGACGAAAACAATAAGTCAGTAGTCCACGTGCAATCGCGAAAACATATGCACTTTTCAAGTATGAATAATTTGATAAATACACGAATGATTAAATATTAATATGGCAAAGGGCAAAGGGCAAAGAGCCAAAGACTAGTGTCTAACGAGGGTAAATACGTATAATTTCATAGATTTCGTATTATATTTATATTAATTGATGTTGAGATGAGTATAAATTTAGTAAGTAATGGTTGGGTGTAAATATAAAAGGTCATACCCGCAGTAGGTAGTGGGTAGGTGCTGTCTGTCCGCCCCACATCCGTCGTTCATATAAATTTTAGATCATTATGAATTTGTGTATAATTTTAAAGATTATTCTGTAAATATTAAGATTTTATAAGAAATAATTTGTAATTTAACCAAATGCTAGACTATAAATATTTTTAAGATCGAAATATATCATTTCTCCTATCTCAAACTAGTAGTATGGACGAGTATAGATGGGTACCAAATGGATGGTGAGTTTTTAGTTATATAATGAGTGTGAGGATGTATTTGATAATATACCAGCAAGAGCAAGGGTGAATTTAAAAATTTTACCCGTCGTGAATGGTGGGTAGATAGTATATACATAAATATTCGGTGAATATGAGAACAGAGGAAGAGATATCTACACCCATCCCATTCGTTTACCATCCTACTAATGTCTTTTATTGATTTTTATGGAAACCATCTATTTTAGTATTTATTTTTTTCTTTTACTTTTTTTTTTTATATTTTCTTCATTAATTAATAGTGTGTAAATTATGTAATATATTCAGACAGTTTTATGTTGATAATTTTGTGTAGATTTGCGAATAAAAAAGTTGGTTATTTTTGTAGGGCTAATTGCAGAAGACCCAATAATGAAATTTAAGTCCAACAAATTTTGAATGCCATGATCAAATAATGGTGCTCAACCGCCCCAGGAGGGGAGCGTGGGTAAGAAAAGGGTGATTGATGTGGGCCCCAAAGTCATCTAAGTTTGTTCAACCAAAGTACTCGTCAACGTAATTCTCTGTGTCTTCGCTCCAAAATATTATATTATTTCTTTTCCCCCTTATAAATTTTGGGCAAGAAAGGGAGAAAGGAAATAGGAAGGAAAGAGGAGAGGAGAGTTTCCTACGAAAATCAAGGGCTTTTTGCAGGTTTAATTTAATTGCAAATTTTGATTTAGGAATTTTCTTTTTGTCGACCAAAGATTGTGAGCGGATGGCTATGGCAATTGCTTCGGACGAAACCACCCGCATATGCGATCACTGGTATTTATTATTAGCATGATTCCGTGGCCCTTTTCTTGAATTAATTTCCATTTGTTCAGTTTTAAACACATTTTTTTTGGTCTTCCGGATCCTAGCTCATTCGTTTCTATTCTTATATCTGCTCAGCCTCAGATTGTCTTTATGCTTAAAATTTGGTTATTTTTTTTATTATTGGCGTTGTCGAAAATTTTCGTGCCTGATTTGTCTAGAATTTCATTTATAAGGAAATGATTAGTAAATTAAGTTGAACAGATCAAGCTGGAAAGGGAATTACTTTAGTTAAATTATCTGCTTTGATGTCTATCAGGACCCGAATCGTGTTTATTTGATGCGTTTATGCCTTCAAGAGCATTTTTTTTGTTACCCATATTTGAATTTCCATTGAATTTTTAAAGTTTAGCAGTGATTATCGGACACTTAGAGCATTTCAACATAATTGTTGATGTTTCAGTTTGGCTTTGCTAGTTTTCTATTGACTATAACTTTGCAATCCACTTGATGATGGGAAGTATGTTGCATATATTGAATAAAGCTTGAAACTTTCAAGTCTTCCTATTTATTATGACTAATTGTAATTCATAATGACATCATTGAAGTGTGCTTACATTGTTAGGAAGGTGAGTTGTGGATGAAAGATTACCGAGGTTTGTCTGCTGGCTTGTTTTCTTTCAAGATGGAAGTGCATTATCATTTTCTGAGTTTTGTTTTGATGTATGCCTCTGGTTTGAAGTGCTTGCTATTGTTTTCTAATTAATTTGATGTTACAGTGATGTGTTCTCTAATTTAGTTTTATGAGGACGAAGTTCCTCTTACTGAAAAATATAATTATTATGGAAATTTCCTCGCAGAAAACTTTTTAACAAGTATTTTTCCTTTTTGATGGTTCAGTGACAGGGCCATACCTTCTTCAAATATAGATTTGCATTATGCTCATTGTTCTCGTAATCTTGAAAAATGTAAAGTTTGTGGTGATATGGTTCCAAAAAAGCATGCTGAGGAGCATTTCTTAAACACCCATGCTCGGGTAAGTCTTGTCTAGTTCATTACAAATGAACTAATTCTTTAACATGCTTTTTCTCATCCATCTTCTTTCTCCATCACTATGATGGCCTTTTTTGTGCTATTGTGCTAGAGAAATGAAATTGTCTTACCTTTGAAGGTTTCTTAATAAACAACATTAATTTGTAACATTCAAATTTACCTAAAATGGATTATTAGGCCATTTTTCCTTTTAAAATAAAATCTATGGACAAATTATAGAAATAACTAAGTTTTGGGTTTGCTATATTCCCCTGGTTTCCAAATCATCTTATTGGTCTAGGATTTGTAGTTTATCTAACAGACGATAAAGCCTATTTAAAGTGAAGTATATTCGACTTATTATCCCCTACCTCTCTTGTCTGCCTTTCAAACTCAAGTTATCTCTTTTGATTTCAATGCATGAATTTGTTAAGGGAAGACTATTTTCTAAGTTAAGTGTTTATTGTCAATGAAGGTTTGAAATATTATTAAAAACGAAATAAAAGAGATCAAAAAGATTCTAGTTATTCCTTTAAGTTGATGATAATTGATAAGTTCTGTTAATTACAAGTCTAGGGGTCTAGGTTATCTGTTTGATGATTCAATCATGCTTGTATGTCGGTGTCTAATGTGTAAGTGCATTTGCTATTGCACATCTCTTGTTTAGGGGTGCTTATCGAGCGAGTCGATCGCGAGATGGTGCTCGACTCGTGCTTATTAAAAAATTCTGTTGCTCGACTCGACTCGTTGCTCATTAACCTCGTTAAAATTTTGCTCGACTAGTGCTCGTTAAAAGAAACTTGTTGCTCATTACTCTATTCGTTGCTCGTTAAGCCCACTAGAAATTTTACCTTGTTTTTTAATTATAGATAAAATCTAGTAATACTATATAGAGTTTAACATAAACATAAATTAACAAAATTGACAAAAAAAATTATCAAAAGAGTGTATAAAGCAATTTCAAAGTCAAAACTCCAAGATAACAATCCACAAAAACACCAAACTAACATATTAAAACTAAAGTAACAATTCACAAATTCGTCAAACTAACATATTAAAAACATTCTTGAACGAAAAGAAGTTCAACGATACATAATCAATCCTAAAAATAAGAAAATCAGCATCCATTCACTCCATTCATCGTTGCTTGCAATCACCAAACTACTAAAAACATTATATAAAAAATTAACGAGTTGCTCGCGAACTTTGCTCGATTCAACTCGTCAAGATCTCAAGTAGAGTTCAAGTTCGAGTCGAATCAACCCGAATCGAGCATTTACCGAGTTTTGACTGAGTCGAGTTCTAGCAGCTCACGAGCTACTCAACTCATTAAGCACCCCTACTCCTGTTAAATCTAACATAGTAATAGCATTTGTTAACTTTTCTGGTGTTATTGTCTACATGTATATCAAGCAGGTTACTTGTTCACTGTGTAGTGAGACAATGGAACGTGAAATTCTAGCTATCCATAAAGGTGAAAATTGCCCCCAGAGAATTGTTACTTGTGAGTTTTGTGAGTTTCCTTTGCCTGCTATTGATCTGGCCGAGCATCAGGTACTAATTTTTGAATCATTTTTTAGTTATAGGATTCCAATGATATTTACTAGGTGAAACTGTCATAATGTTGATGGTGCTTTATTTCAGGAAGTATGTGGGAACCGGACAGAGCTCTGTTATCTGTGTAACAGATACATTAGACTGAGAGAAAGATATAACCATGAAAGTCGGTGTAACGGTATTTCAGAAGACAATGTGGGATCTTCCAGGTATACATGCTATAATTTACAATTGCAACGTTCGGGTAGGAATAAGTTATTGTTTATCCACAAATTATTTCTTTTAATTAAGCTTACTGATGACCTATGTTGTGAAGTTATATTTTGTCTCCCTAGCATCTAGTAGCATGTTTGCATTTTGTACTTGCAAATTTCAGTTCGAAAATTAGTAACTTTCATTTATCAGAGAAGGATTTATGTTGAAAGTATTCATTGTTTTTTATTGAATGTATTGCCATAACAAGAGCTAGTTCTTTGGCCAATTGTGTCTAATGCTGCATTCTGGATGAACATAGCTGTGATATGTAATCAATGGTTGTATACGCCATGAAATTCTTGCCCTTTTCCCACGCCTTCCATTGAGCTGTGTTGCTCCAACTCTTTTAACTTTCTTTATGTATTTGTGTTCAATACTTTTATCTGATGGTTACGGGCACGGGGTATGATCCTTCAAGATCCTCTGTTGGGATTTATGAAGCTCGATCGATCAACGAAATATGTCAAGAGGGGTGAATTGGTTTTTTTGAAAATTTAGGGAGTAAGGAGAGAAAGGATATACAATTTGCACAATGATTTATAGTGGCTCAACTTCCTCAATGAAGTCTACATCCAATACTTAAGCTCATCGCCTAGGATTTTTCAACAAATCCACTGATTTGTTCTTTCTTTTTCAAGGATCAAGAGTAACCTTTTCAACTCCCTAGTTTTACACTTGGCTAAACTAGAACCAAAACTTTAACTCAATTTAACTCACTAAAAAACTCTATTTACAAGAGAAAATAAAGAATAAATAATGAAAACTTTTCTCTTGATGATCAATGCTTGGATAGGTGTTGTGTAACATTCTTCAAGTGTCTTGAACTTGTTTTTATATGTTGAAATGAGTTACTAGCCGTTGAAAGACTTTCTGCACACAAAGTTTCGAAACTCTTCGAAAGAGCCATTAGAAAAATTTGACCGTTGGAGCTAAAGTATCGAAACTTTAAGGAAAGTTTCGAAACTCTTGAGATAGTTTCAAAACTTTTTGGGAAATTTTCTTCGAAGGTTTCAAAATTCTTGTAGAAGTTTCGAAACTTCTGGTCAAAATACTCATTTTAAGGTTTTTATTGGACTTTGAATTATTTTGATGAAAACTTTGAATAAATTCAATTTAGTCCAAAAATAATTTGCCCTTTTTTGTTATGTCAAAATATTAGTTCTACATCCTCCAAGTACTAGAAAAAAGAAATGAACATATATCCTTGTCGGGAAAATATGGTTGTGAGATGCTCATACCTAAATCCTAGTAATATAACCATCAATCTCAAGAACTGCATCCGTTAGAGGACAGGAAATAGTGCATGTTTGAACCTGTGTTGATCTCACCTGGATACTAATCAAACCTACTTCTATTTTGGCAAAGGCCACGTTATAAATCCTTAGATTAATAGTAATGATGTTTACTGCTAACATTTGGCGCACACTTCTATTAGTAATCTGAAAAGTGCATCAGCTCTTTGTTTTCTGCGTTGTCTAAAGAGAATTGTACCAAGTATCATATGTTTAATTTCATGGGTTTGGGACCTATGTTTAGGGATGTGAGGCCAGCTGAAAGGGACCAAGGTGCTCAGAGAAGGCAGCCACCTGAATATTCACGGAGACGACTTTTATTCACAATTGCAATAGCCGGGATTGCTGTTTTATTAGGGTCACTTGTTTTCCAGAAGACAATGGAGACCGGTCCGATAATTTAGCCGTGTTGACAATGCGCACTGACTTGTGTAAATCAATTTGAGAGCTTACGTATTCCACTACTGTATCTCAAATTTATCCTAGAGCGTATACTATTTGATGTACTAAAACTGGATCCAGATTCTGATAATTTGTGGTAATTTCCTTCGCCATATTTGCTTCTAGACTTTTGAATTTATGTACATGAAAATGAAAATGTTGTACTTTTTTGTAATTCCTAATATTAATCACTATAGTAACAGAAAAATATTTTGAAAAGTTGAAATCTTTCCTTCTTTTTTCATGCATACACAGCGTCTTGTGGTGGTCGGAAAAAATCTCCAATCTTCGAAAAGTTTGTCGAGAGAAGAAGTTATTCGATTATTTTTTAGTTAGATACTATCAAATATCTTCAATTATTATTATTATTTTTGAGTTAGATACTATCAAATATCTTAATCTTTTAACATTAAACGATCACACCCCTGACATCTATGGTGCTCGAGCTCAGGTTCTCAAACAAATAACAACTCTTTTACCTTAGGTCATTCATACAAATATCTTCAAATTTAAGCAGTTAATATCATGATCAAAATCAAGTTTAGGAGTTGGGGTTGGTTACATGTAGGGAAAATTAAGACATTCATTATGTCCACATTAGACATTCATCATGTCTAAAATTGATACTTTCAAAAGAATTTAATAGTCTCGTTTTCTTAAAATAAATTAAACATGAAAAATGATGCTAATAATAATTAATATTGGACAATAATAAATAGTACTAAAAACTTAAATAAATAAATAGACAAATATGTTAGGACTAAATTGAAGGAAAAGGAACTTACAATGGTCAATTAATATGCAAAATGAGATTAAATTGAAAGAAATTAGAAATTAAAGAGAATTAAAAGAAAAGATAAACAAGTAAAACGGATGAATTTACAATATATGTGAAGGTGAAAGATTTAACTAAAATATAAAAAATGCGTTCACCCTGACTATAGTCCATATCAGATACGAGTCGAATACTGAGTTAGTCGTTCAAAACGATGCCGTTTTGAGGTATGGACAATTAACCCAAACCGAAATCCTTTTACGGAGAGATTGTATTTTTAAGAAAATAAAGATATAAATTCGTTTTCCCATTTCCATATTAAAATCAATCACGCGCCTCCGACGGCTAAACCCTTACCCGCCACATTACTGTAGCCGAAGATCAGTAGCCTGCGGCTGCCGCTTCTTCATTGAAAATATTTACGATCAACCGACCGCCGCCATTACTGCCGTTTGTCTCTCGTACGATGAGCTTATAAGTTATAACATCCTGATACCTTGACAGATTATCATCCATGACGAGCACAGTTTGGAGGATCATAAATTGTTTCAGTGACTGTGGTGGCTGTAAAAGTCGTACTGGAAATGCAAGACAAGGTAATTCAGATTTTAAAATTTCTACTTCTACTTTCAGTTATATTGACTGAAGATTTTAATTTATTTTCGAAATTTCTTGTTGAAATGAAAAGGATTTGATTGAAGCCATCTTCAATGAAGAAAGGGAGTGGAAATATTAAATGCTTGACGTGGAAGCAGAAAAACCAAGTCATAATAATTGATCATGATCCTATATTCAAAATTTACATTTATTTTTAGACATTTTTCACGATATAGGCTTATTACTTTTACATGCATATCCTAGGTTAAGAAGAGATTGCTTTGTTCTGTAAGCAAAAGCCTCAAAATATTTTTGCCTCTTTTGCTGGTTTTTTTTTCTATTTCTCTAAATTTTAATCCTATCATAAAACTGTTTCTTTACCCTTCGTATTTTCAGATATGCTGAACATGAATCAGGATACAAATTGTGTTCCAATGCTTACACAGGGAGTACGATTGCATAATCTAGACTGTTCTGTAAGTTAATTTGTTGTGTCATTTTTCATTTTGTATTCCTGAAATTGATGGAATTTGATATGCCTAATACGCCAATGGTTGGCATCTTATAGAAATTAACATCCGACATATTTTGAGTTGGTTATGATTGAAAATGGTATTTTGTGCAGGTGGTGATGGATAATGGCATTGTTCAAGTCACATTATCAAAACCAGGGGGAATTGTCACCGGAATACGGTGTAATGGGATTGACAACTTGCTTGAAGTTCGAAACCAGGGAACTAATAGAGGGTGTGTGTTATTTCAGCTATCCCTCCAACTGTTTATTAATAGGGATTTCTAAACATGGAATTAATGTAATTAAATCAAGATATAAGTTGGACTATGTAGATTAAGGGCAACGAGCTTTCCTAGGGTTTTCAGGGAAAATATTACAAACAAGTTTTCATAGTCCTCATATAGAGAATTTCCTACATACATTATATGTGTATATATAGATATATAGTTTTTCTTTCCCAATCAAATCATAGATAACTGGAGCTTTTTGTCTCTATTTGACTAAATTTTTCCGATTGTAGGTATTGGGATCTGCACTGGAATGAAACAGGAGGCAAGGGAATATTTGATGTGTATGTACATTTTCTTCTACTCTGCATATGTGACAGTCACAATGTAACAATTCACCTTAATTTCATTAGGACAGATCTTGATTTCTAGAAATGCCTTTCTTATTATTTGAGTACTAAGTAGCTTTTCTAAACTTTTCTGTATCAACGCAAGACGGATAATATCATAGTACTACATTGCAACTGCATTTATATATATATTTGAAAGGTGCATTTAGATATATTTAACTGAGAAAACTTGGGTGATACAAGAATTCTTAAATCATACTTAATTATTTACATGCTAGCAGCATGTTCTGCATAGCATTATTTTCTTTCTCTATATCTCAGGAGTTTAGATATATTTATCTGAGAAAACTTGGCTGATGCAAGAATTCTTAAATATTACATAATTATTTTCATGCTGGCAGCATGTTCTGCATAGCAAGATTTTCATTCTCTATATCTCAGGAGTGTTGTCATTACTATTAGCTTGTGGTTTCCTTTTAGACAACTATTTTATTCTTTGCTTACAAAGTTTAGTTCCAAATTTTCCCTTTTTTTTTTAATATTTTATGATCAGATAAAAGTATTTCTCGGTTGATTACGCGCGTTATATTGTTCATCATAAATGAATTACTATTGTTCATCATAAAGTATTTTTCACTTTGCAGAATCCAAGGAACAAGTTTTCGAGTTATAGTGGAAAATGAGGAACAAGTTGAGCTCTCGTTCACAAGAACTTGGAACCCCTCCCTTGAGGGAAAGTACATTCCCCTAAATATTGATAAAAGGTCTGTGCTTAAACCATGCATAGGTTTGCTACTGAAATTTCAGGAAAAAAAAACTATTAATCAAACTATCTTTCTCCAGGTTTATAATGCTTTGTGGTTCATCTGGCTTTTACTCCTATGCCATCTACGAGCATCTCAAGGAATGGCCTGGTTTTGAGCTTGGTGAAACCAGAATTACTTTCAAGCTCAGAAAAGACAAGTAACAAATTAATTGCTCAGTAATGAATGTCTTTTAAAAACCTACAATTTCAAGTGAAATTTTCTAAAAAATAAACTTATTTTTTCCAGAAATGCAATTGTAAGAAATATGGCTTTTATCCTTCACAATCGGAGTTTGATTCTAAGAATTATGTGCTCACATAATGTTAACAGCTAGCTTCCAGTTATTGTTTAAGGCCAATGATGAAATGGAATGAACAGCTGTATGGGACCTCAAGCTGATTCAAACATATGTAGAGTCTTTTAGACACCAATGTATGGTTTAAGTGAAGTAATTTTGAATAACTAAATTTGGTTGATCGTGTGGACTTCTGAATTATCACAGGTTTCAATACATGGCCATAGCAGATAACAGGCAAAGATACATGCCCTTCCCTGATGACCAATCAAATGGAAGAGGTGTACCTTTGGCTTATCCAGAAGCAGTCCTTCTTGTCAATCCCATGGATCAGAGGCTAACAGGAGAGATACTTCTGGCATTCTTATTCTCCTTGTGTGCTTGTCTAGTCTATTTTCTCTTCCATCTGCAGTAACCTCTTTTCAATTAGATTGCTGACATAGTTTATATGTTGCTTGTCCTTGTTAACTTGAAATTTCTAAACCTATTTTGGTTATTGTTAGGATTGCTTTTGCCAAATCATCATGCTTGCAGGAATACATGCTTGATATGACTTCTTGATTTGCAGGTGGATGACAAGTATCAGTATTCATGTGAGAACAAAGATCTTCGAGTTCATGGTTGGATCTGCTTTGACCCACCTGTTGGGTTCTGGCAAATCACACCTAGTGATGAGTTCAGATCTGGTGGACCCCTAAAGCAGAACCTAAGCTCACTTGTTGGACCCACCACTCTGGCTGTAAGTGCCTAGTTTTGGACAACAGTATTTAATAGAGAAATTGACATCACTTTGTTTCTTCATCTCAGTAGCAAGTTATTTGCTATGATCATAAACTTAAGTTAAATTAACTCTTGATTTAAATGGCATCTGCAGATGTTTCTTAGTGCACATTATGCTGGTAAATATATGGTTCCCCGATTTGAAGTTGGGGAACCATGGAAGAAAGTTTTTAGCCCTGTTTTTATGTATTTTAATTCCGCAGCCTATGGAAATGATCCACGTTGGCTGTGGGAGGATGCTAAGATCAAGGTTTGATATTGGAAATGCTTTATATTTTTTGCTTTGATATCTTTGGAGAATATTTTTTTGATAAGAGTTGAAGGCCTCATTAAACAATGGATCTTTTTAGAAAAGCTCCTTGATCAGCGGAAGGGGGAAAAGAGCGCCTTAGAATTATATTAAACAATAGGAAAATTACAACCTGGTGTGAAGTAAACCAAAATCCCTTACAAAAAACCAATAAGACCCACCCCTACTATAACCAGAATCGAAATACATCAGACAACAGCATAATCAGCCAATAGCAGCCTTTGCTAAACCATCAGCATCTATGTTTGCTGATCTTGCAACCCATCTAATAACCCCCTCCAAAACTCTTAGATTATCAACAATATCTTTAACAATAAAAGCATAAACAACTGGGCAAGACTCAACATTATTGATCCAGTCCACTGCCACCTTACTGTCACTCTCAATAAGCAACCGCTCCTTAACCATCCCTTGAAAAGATGCACAAAATGATAAACCCTTTTGAATAGCTTTAAGTTCTATCAGTGTAGGAGGACCCGAACCAGCAGACTAATTGTATGATTTTTTTTGTTATTATGACTGAAATCACATTAAAAAAGAAAAGAAATCCAATACAAATTTGGGG